GAGCAATACTTTTTTTTCTGAGAGAACTTTTATGCCGGCAAGCGCTTGGTGGCATAAGTACCGACCGCGCTTGAAGCCGGAAATGTGAGCGAACGACAGCAGAGACGGGGTGACTGTATAAGCGTTCGAGAATTGCTGTATAAGCGTTGTAAAGATTTCGTTTTTCGCCTTCTGTGTGGAAAGTGGATAGCATAGCAGCTCGACTTAATTCAGTTGTTTCTTTCTTAGTAGTTCTTATAGACTTGTGTTATTTTGATCAATTTGCAGATCGCCTGATAACTGGATGCGGGTGTTGCTTTGTTTTCATCCAATTAGGCGTCTTCTGGATAAAATTCGTGATACTCTAATGGATCCTAGGTGCGAAGAAACTTGGCACATTTCCACATATAAAAATGGAGTAAGTCCATGCGCTTTTTCAAAAAAACTGTTTTGTTGATTTATTTTCATAAATGGAAAATGTCGAGAAAGAAATTCAAAAAATATAAGAAGTGCAAAGCAACTGTGAGCCGAAATTTATTATTTAGGTTTTAGGTAAATGTGAGACAGATTCAACAACATGTGTTTTCACAAGCTTGAAAAAGTAAAGGGAAATGATAAGGGGGAATGAGAGTGAGGGAAAATAGAGTTCAGAATTGAGTACAACAAAAAACTCGAAGTGTATAATTGTACAGTCACATTAGTTAAGCGCAAATTATTCATTTTCTCATTGAACGAGTAAGATCAGATTGATGTTTTGGCTCGTACATCCTGCAATGTGGCTTTTTCAGAGAACATTGCCATTTTCAGCCATCGATACTTCGGCAGATTCTGGTCGCATTTGGCTCTTTGGTCTCTAATGAGATTCTGGCACGCCTATCGAAGAAGTTTAAGTTGAAGCGGCAGCAATGTTTAACCAATGATTCATGTGTTTTGTGGGAGGCACGCAAAGCGTTACGTTCTGATTCGCGCAAACTAATCAAATTCACGTGCGGCGACCAGGAGGAATATGTCCCGCAACAGAGTCTCTGTCAAGGAAGTGAATATTTCCGGGTATGCGCTACACAGTTTTTGAAATTTTGACATTGTTTTTGAGCAGTGTCCTTGGTGACAGTGGCGAGGCTCAGTCCCGCGGCATAGTTGATGATCACCTGAAATTCTTAGTAACTCTGCGCTGTCCTGTTCCGGGCCCACCAAAATCGATTACTGTCCGAGGCATTTTTCTGTGCCTACGGCTCACTCCAGCTGTATAAATCCTCCTTCGTAAATTCGAAACTGGCGCCACAGGGATTATTTGCTTGGCACCCTTCGTACTTTTACGAAGTGTGTGGATTTCTCAGCAGCTGTTCCAGAGCATGGGCCCTGACTTTTGAGCAGCACGCTTCCCATTTTTCGGTGCTCGGCTTAGTAACGCTTAACTGATTTACAGGGCATGTTTCGGAACGCATTTTCGGAGCGAACTCGCAACACATTTGAATTCAACGAGGAGAAGGAGCAGTGTAGTTTCGAAGTGTTCTGTCGTTTTTTGCATTTCATTTGTGGATGTGGTCGAGACTGCTTCATCGTCCAAGAGACTGATGTACCAGCTCTGCTCAAGGTTACCTTTGCTTCTTTCATATTATATTGTGCATCTATGTTTGCAGCACCAGTTCAGTCAGGATGATATTAATTGTTTGGGTTTGTTGTTTTGTAAATTAGTTGTCTCTCTGAATCTCTCGGAATTAGTACTAGTAATTGAGAAAGCAAGTCGATTCAAAAATCCTAGGAATGCTTCTTTTTAATTTTCCATATTATTTTTGCTGACTTCAGTGGCGTGTGGAAACATTGTATTTGAAAACAATTCTCAAAAAAAGTGAGAAAATTTCTTACGAGCACACTTTGGGCCGAAAGCTGCTACTCGCGTCTTGAGAAATGGGACAAACATCTTCGTCCGGAAATGTGGTATTGACTTTTCTCATATTTTTTCAGCTCTCCGATCGCTATATTTCTG